ACACTAAAAAGCACCTCACTAGATGGCGACTCTAGCAAAAATTGATTTTTGCAGGAAACGAATGGACCAAAGAAAGTCGTTTCCGTTCCTTTAAAACTTAGGTATTAATACAAATACGATAAAGTACAACTAGAATATGAGTTGTTTATTGACTTTTGATTGAAAATTTAATAATTTTTATACATGACAGAAAACCGGAAAGGTTGCCATGTAGTAATCAAGGAAATACCGAAGCGACATCTAGTTTGATTTCGGGAACAATTTTTTATTTTCATACTTCCTCATTTAGGGTAACTGTCACTGACGAACATACACACCTACTTACTAGTGATGTAACGAATATTCTCATTCGCCGTCGCATTTTACATTCGCATACGCTTTAACATTAGCATACATGGATATTCGCACATTTTTAAATATTTGCATTCGCATTCGCTATATGAATATCGGAATAAAACATTTGGGAGGTGATTTTATTAGGATAATAAAATTTAAAAATCCATTAACTTCATAATTTTTATTATAAGCTCAACATTACATTCACAGCCCTCATTTTATCATTCGGTAAAATTTACTGCTACTTTTATTAACAGAGTTTATGATTCAGATTTATACTAAATAACAATAAACTTCTCATTAATAGATATATATTGCAATATTAAGAAACAGTAACAAATTCTTCTCTTCATATAAGTATACACTGGAACAAAACATGTGTCTTCTGTATTTCTTCGCGCTGTTTTATTTTTTACTTAATTCCTTTTTATTATGTCTTCTCTCTTTGTCTCTCTCCGAATCGATTTCTTCGTTTTTGGTTTCAACTCGAGGATTCTAATTCAGTTCTATTAACTTAAGATTTAAATTCTGCCGCTTTGAAGGGTCACCCCTCGTATCTTCAAACCAACACAAAGTCGTTATATATTTATAGGTATTGGACTAACATACAATTAATTGTTCAGTTAAAAAACAGTTTTGTCTTAATCTTAACCAAAAAGAGCACGGAAAAAAGAAAAAAATAAATATAGTTAAATAACAGCTGATAAAAATATCGTAAAAAACGCTAAGACCGTTATAAATAACTATAAGAAGTAGGAAATACAATCTGCGCCCGCGCAAACGTAAGGTCATTCTGCTCATTCGTACACACCTGTTTCTAAACATACACAATCACTTTGTCATTAAAGATCTTGAACTTTATTACGTAAACCTTAGGATTCACGGAAAAGATTAGGGAAACGTTATTATTAGTTTGATTTAACGATGCTCATTACTTTTTCTGTTGATATACAATAAATTCTCCCATAAATTATGTATGAAATTTCTGTGAAAGAATTATAAAACAACATTAGTTTATTATATATAGTATTGGTTTGCTTTGAATAACCCTTTTTATGTAATATTCAAGTTTGATATAACCCAATCCAAATTGGTATTATAATTAGTACTTACTAATTTGAGGTAAGATAATTTCAACTTTCAAATGATAAATTAGTTTGATGACTTCATCATAGGCGTAGTAGTAATCAGACGTCAATTTGACGACACCTGTCATCTGTGAGATTCGATCCCCGGAAGATATTCAATAAGTCGGATGTAATATTTTATGTACAATCAATGTGTAGCGATCTCAAAAGTAACGAAGAAGGTCGGTAAGTTTAAGTATTTTTGCTATACTTATATTATGTGTCAATTTTCCAGAAACACGTCATCAATTGGAGATTTTTTATACAGTTAATACGAAAAATGATAAACAATATGTGGCCACCTAACTTTGACCAGCATTTACACAAATTGGCGACATCTTTGTATTTGGAAATTTAAATTTTAATAATTATTGCGCAAATTAATTAATCTGCAAACGACACTGATGTCTGCCAGACTGTATGTATATTCGCAGTCTACTTATCATATAACTCAGACTGCTCGTTTAACATAAGAAAGGAATCCGCATTATGCAAGTGAAATGAATCATTAGGAGAAAACAACTTTTAATTAAGTAATTCTTTTGTTACTTACATTTTTATTTGCGGGTATTGCTCTTTTTATTATATATATATATTAGAATCTTCTGCAAATAATGCTTTGCTATTCTATAATAATAGCAGCTCACAACTAAAAGAGGTTCGATTAAATGAAAACTAATTAAAAAGGTAATAAAGGTTTTATTTGATTGAAAGCTGCGGTGACAGGTTTGTACTCTACGTCGTTCGAAGCTGGTTTTAATACAAAATAGCTGGAGCCATTATTGAATAAACTTATTAAAATAAAACTCAGCTATATACAAAGCATATTTTTTCAAATCGAAGTGGGTATGTAAAATTTTTAGCTGATTAATAGTAATGGTTGAGGTAACATCTGACGGTAAGGTTTCGGATTTTTTCGTTGCCCTATACTTTTCTACCGCTTGTAGCCGCCATTTGCTAGAGCAGTGGTTCTTAACCGGTGGTCTACGGACCACTTGCGGTCCGCGTTACCTGGAAGCATCACAAATGGTCAGCGGGGAAAAAATAATTAATCATATAAAAAAATGCGTATTTTTATAGCTACATAAAACACATAAGAATACTTATCTAGACTGAGAAAGATAACATGACCATCCCCCTATCTGGCTGCCATTGCTAAATACAAAATGATTCCTAAAGTGTTTAAAATCACTGTGCTAGAAAGATAACGGGCTGCAAAGCCGTGGAATCCTCGAGGCAAAGGCATCTATATTAGAACTCAGTCCTCATTGTCCTGTTTAATTCCATCTTTAGGAAAGATATTCTCATAAGCAGTTGGGACACTGACAGGATAATTATCGAGATATTCAAAACGTCCTACACTGGTTCAATAATTAATATAATTAATATTGAAAAATTCAGATTCACGTTAGAATTTCAGAAAAAAATTGTAAACCAAAACGTCATTGATAAAATAATTATATCGTTGCCTACAAAACTGAAAATATAATACATATAAGTAAATTAATAACGGTAAATAATAAATCAGAAACAACGAGAGTACTTGACAAAATAAATTAATTCTTTTCTTTCTTGATTCGATCGAATCTATCGAACCTTAACGATAGTGATACTGTCACTGACATTAACACTCTTAATCATGATGACACTGGCGTGTTTGCTTAGTTATAATAATTTAATAAAATAATTAATAAAATGGTAGAGGTAAGAAAATACGAGAGGTATAAAAGCAAAAAAAAAACTAGAAAAATATTCTGTAAAAATAGGTAAGCAGCGAAAAAGCAATCGTGTGAAAACTACACAAATCATAAGACAAATGGACTTGAACAAAGTTTCGAACACTGAATCTGGATTATGAAAAATCAACCAAATTTGCCCCCTAGGATAAAATAAATTCACAACTGTTCGAGTAATGAATGATAATTGCTATAATGACGCCAGTCTTTTGAATCTAACATTATTATTATCTCATGGGATTTTTCCTTTACGTTTTATAGTTGTAGGTAACTATTGAATGCTATTTTAAATGATTACGTATTCTCATCAAAGATTTGTATTCTGATGACGCGACCGAAAAATTTGAATTTGAAATTTATATTAATGTTATTATGTCTGATATTTCGGTGATAACCACCTAGTTAAACGACTCTTGATCAAAGAATATTAAACAAAATTTTAATGTATATATACCTATCATAGTATCTGTTAATAATATTTATAGTAATGTGAACTTGTCGGATGAGTATTCTTAGACCGCATCCTTTAATAATTTTAAGATGTCCAATAAGAGCAGCAACAAGATTTAGACGTCTAATAATCACAAAGAATCCAAAAGATCCTAAAATGTTATATAATTATATAATATAGATCGAAACACGTTTTATACTAGTCAATTTATAAATATTAATTTTACATTTTAGTTGAGATTATTCAAGTTTTGAGTTTACGTCTGGCGTTATTCAAGGCGAATGATCCATCATTGAGATACAAAGACACTTACGCAGTATTTGTTTTCAGTATAACTGTAATTTTCTACATATATCTTACCTAAGCAGTACCACAGCCATAACCTTTTCGTCGATTTGACCTTTTTTCAATGATATTTAAATTATTTATATAAATTTTTCGAACATGTTACGTAAATACTGTTATAATCAAATATTATATCTAAACAAACACACATTTTCCACTCATTCTCTCCAAGTTTCAAGACTTCGAGATGGTTTTATGAGATTTTCTCATTAATTTGTTGTTAAATGACAAGAATTAATCATTATAAATATTAAGATTTGATTATTTTGACGCAGCAGCAAATCGGGGTACCACTGTAGTCTCTTTCCGCAACCAAATTGTACTTTATTTATCAAAAGATAGTTTTGATAAGTACAAAACTATTTAATTATGAGCTTTATTTAGATTATTCTTATAGGCCTAAACATGCAAGAATTTTGGGGTCTCCATTGTTTCAGATGATTTTGGGGAGTCAGTTTCACTACCTTAATTAAAGTCAAGGAACGCAAAATTTCAAATAAATTAGACCAAAAAGGGTTTGTAACATGCTTTGAGTTAATAAAATTTATACAGCGCTTTTCTAAACAACAATATTCTCAGTAAAAAATCTTCAAAAAAAAATATTCAACATCAACACAACATAAGAAAAATAGGTACACAAAAATTTAAACAAATATTATTGTATCTTATACATGTAACCTCACTTTTCGTTTAAGGGTTAAATGTTAAACATAATAAACACAGCCGAGAATATTCTACTACGGTCTCAACAAAAGCCAGTCTCTTTTATTGTATTTGTTAACAAATCAACGTTGATTAATACGATAACAAAATCACAGCTATTCACAAGTGTATTACAAATGGGGCAACGTATATTTTTTTGTAATTAGCAGATAAGACATTTCAAAATAAAACTTTAAGTTACAATAAGCACAATCTACGCTTAAATGTCAGCAATAGCCGTGGGACCTGATACTCGTAAAACAAACGATGCATTAGAAATAATTAATTTAAAAAAAATCTTACCAGAATACGTGAGAATAAAATCCGACCTTAAAAACACTGCTGCTATTTCAAGTCCGAAGTAAACACAGTCTTATTTCAATGTCACAATACAGGATGATAAAATTATAAAATGTCAGGCGCACAATTGTGAGAAAAAGAAAAGTAATCGAAACGATTGGACGGTTGAACGTTCGAAATATGAACGAGCCAATCACGTGGCGGCGCGCATGCGTGCGGGGACAACAAACGCTCGACGCGGACTGAAGCGACAAACGGTTTCACAAATGACTGGTGCTTGAGAGCCTTCTCCATTCACATCATCATATTACTGGCACCATTATATAATTTGAACCTTATTAATTGCTAATAAGACGTAGAATACTTTATGTTGACAAGGTTTTAGCGCTGTTTTGTTTTTCGTTACATGTTCCTACCTCGGTCGCCTTCGACGTGCGCACGAGTCGATTTTTTTGCAAACGTCTCTCTTTAATTTTTTTATTTATAATCGATCGTTCTTATATGACTAACAGCAAAAATTTAATATAAATATTTCTTTCCTAATCTTTGACGCGTTGATATCTTTTATATGAAAACGAATTTAGATAATCTGAATTTCCCATAAGATTTTTTGCAAAAACCTAATTTCGTTTTAAAATGAACGGTGAATAACTCTTTTACTTTTATGGAATAATGACGAAAAGACATAATTCACAATTTTATAATAATATTTGTTAGTAATTGCAACTGTTACTACCTGCAACTTTGTTTTAGTTATAGTAACTTCATGTAATCGTATTGTATTTATCTATCTTAAAGATCAATTAAAGTTATAAACTGATCTTATAATTACTTAGACATTGTAATGAAATTAAATAATAAACAATGAGTTTCGTAAATATTAAAATAACGTATATTTAAAGATGAGAAGTATATTATATATTGTATGTTGATTTTTACAATATTTTTACCTAAGATAAAATAACAGGTTTACATAATACAGTTAAGATTTATTTTTATCAATAAACAACATTTTTGTTACTTTGAAGTTGATATTAGTATAGAAAATGATATATTTTTACTTAATATTTACTTCGGTTTAAACAACGGTATATTGAATTTATTTTTTGTCATTGTTATTTCCAATGGACTCCAAAACTAGGCACATTTTAATTTAATATTTTTTGAATCACCTCGTTGAATAATTTCTGTGTGAAAAAAAGGCAAACTTAAAAAATTGTTCTTTATTAAATGCAAAATAATATCCTAAATTTTTCGTTATATTTTCAATGTATGTCAAAACTTCATAAGACAGATATCTAATAAATAATTCAAGAAACTTCAATTGAATTGAATATAAACTACAAATTAAATATAAGAATTACGTTATAATATCCACACGACTATATAAGTCGCTTTATAAATCTCTTACCCTCCATTTTTCGATTTTAAGAGGCAATTTTGGAATAAGATATTTTTAGTAAGAAATTTTATATTACTTTTTATATTACTAGTTTCACTCACCTAGTTTACACGATATCTTCATGGTAATTTTACCCCTAGAAACTAAATAAATACTTTACTAAATATGATATTTGGCATGTAGGTAAGTCGATCAATATCATCAAAATGCGTTCAATAAATTTAACGCGTAGTATTAGTAACAAACGTCGAAATTTATAAACTTTCGCCTTTATAATATTATCGTATAATAATATTATAGATTCTAACTCAAGTAGTTATGATATCATGTCTTAAAATATTCCATTCTATAATAAGCTCAAGAAAAACAAAAAACGTACGAAAGTTGAATCCAGTTCTTGAATTTGCATTCATAAGGAAAAAACTAGCACATAGTTATAAAACAATACCTGAATGATTGATTTTTTAATTAGACTGCATGGTTTTTAATAAAAGAAAACATTTGACGAGCTTAGTGATCTACCTTGGCTTCATCACCAGCCTAATAGTGGGGATACCCATTACTGGGGTTCAAGCCTTCCCTATCGATAGAATCGTATCAAATCGAATACGATGAATGGGCCATGACCCACCACGAGGGTCCAATGCACATTGGTGAGTATTAACGACTGCAGATACAGCCAGGACCAACGGCTTAACATGCCTTTTGAAGCACGAGGAGCTAGAATATTTAAAATTTTGGTCACCTATCCTGTACCCGGCCGTTGCAAAAGTTGCTTAACAACTGTATCGCAAGCAGAGCGAGCTAATGTTGGCTTCGCAAGGATGCAAAACATAAATAGTAAGTTTCCAGGCTGTCTAATTATACCGGCATTTTCAACAACCTACAAAACATACATTACCTCATGCAAAACATATAAAATGCTGATTTACAGATCGCCTCGATATGTAAGTAAACATTACTAATTTTCAGATAACATTCAGATCAGTATACGAAATGGGCTGTAGGTAGTGTGTATATATGGGCTGTATTTCAGCCGGTTTATGTAACTTTGCAGCAAACTCCATAAATTAAAGATATTGCAATTCATCATGTAAAGCTTTATAAAAATTATAAAAATAGTTTCTGCATTTACGTGTAAAGTGCTCGAAAGCTTCTAAATCATATATAACATTTCTCTTTTTTTTGTAACTAATGATATAGAATTGAAAATTATACAGTAACTTAAAATATTAAACTTAAATCTTCCTGAAGATCGCATTAAAATCCGTTTTTTTTTGTTCAGAAAATCTCAGCGTACTAATAGCGGGAAACAATATTATTTATTATTATCATTAAATATTACTTAATATTATCATGTACTATGTCAATACAGAAGATAAAAAATGCCTCAAGAAATCGATACAAAAGAGGAGCTGATGTCTTCAATCGTTAATCCACCAAATTAAAAACATCAATTGTAAATTTTCATAAAAGGTCTGTTTGAATCGGCCTTTTCTTTTTATTTATTTATCTTGGAAAACCAACAGCTAACCAAACAAGATAGATTAAAGCATAACAAACGATAAGCTACTTATAGGTTTTCGCATATATATACTGCTTAGATTTAATTAGTTATCTTGTATACGGAAAACACCATTAAATAAAACTGTAGTGCCACTGAGTCAGCAACAGATTGTATTTTAGCATATATCTTCATGTCGTCAGCGAAGCATAGATGATTTGAGTACTTGAAGCAACTTCCTATGTCATTAAGAAATATGTTGAAGAGGAGAGGTCCCAGCATTGAGCCTTGGGCTACTCCGCTAGATATAATCACATAACTCGATACAGATTGCTAATGACTACTTCTTGAGACCTGCTATCTATGTAGGATGAAACTCAACAAGTCACCCCTAATATCGATCCGCGCTAGTTTGGCCAAAAGTAAGTCGTGGTCAAGACTATCGAACGCTTTTGTATAGTCAGCATAGTTGACTTCTATTTGAGATATCGCATAGTTTTTGATGTATATTCTTTAAGTAATATAAGGTTATAATTAAATACTTCAGTCTTAGCCCCCTTTTAAAAAACCGTTGAAACAAATGCCTGCTTCCAAATATCTGGTACTTTGCATTCAGACAGGGAACACTTATGTACGTAATAACATGACAGTAGCGGTCACTAAAAAGTTGTTAAATGATTGATTGGTTTTATACTAAGAAAAAACATCCAAATAAACTGTAATTGAAAATGAGAAAATTACTTGAATTGAATTAAATTATGGATTTGGTATAAAAATGTTTTGGTCTTTTTCTACATTTCTTCGAATAATTTCATCTATTTTTTATATAAAAAAAAAGATTTATGAGTATCTTTCTAACCAAGGGTTTTACGGATAACTTTTAAAATAATCTTAATTGGTAATAATAATCGATTTCTCTAAATCGAAAATAGATTTGACCTCGATACGCCATCCTCTATCCCTGTTTCATTGGCGATCACATTTTGATTTACTTTTCTACTTTATCTTTTCGTCTAACCTTAACAATTAAACAACGTTTTTGCATACATACAACACCTTTTAACCGGCACAGATCTTAGCGAATGCCTAAAAATAATCGTGCCCACGGAATGTTGTCGAACGACCTCCGTCGGTAGCAGGTAGAAACGCAGTTTGTGATGGCTTACTTTACGATTCATGTTTAACTGATCCGATAATCTTTTATGAAATCAGAAAGAAAAGTTTTTGTTATCTATAAGCTAAAATCAAAACTAGTGATGCAATCAATAAGAATATTCGTACACTTACAAGAAAGTATAGCCATATAATTCTATTTCTTATTGGTCGAACATAATCAAGATTTTTACAAATGTAAAACAAACTACGATTTAGTTGTGAAACGTGCATCAAACCTGTGCTGCGATTATGTAAAAATACGAACCCGAACTCACTCAGGTGTCCATATATACCTTGAATTGGTAATAACGTTTCGTGGCATTAGTGAAATGAGTTTAGAAATTACATAGGAATAGAATATTTGAGACACGTTTGAATACAAAAATGTAATCAATAGAATTTCTACACTAAATGAGGTGAATTCAGACACAGGAGTGAATTCGAATTCGGGTTTGGATTTATACAGAATCGCCCTGCTGATCCCTTGACGAGTGGCAAAGTATCTAACTTGGAGTTTCGATGACTAAAACTTTGTTTTCCTAGATATGTCATAAATGTTGTGTTTTATAAACAAAATATTTTAGTAGTGAATACTGACGAATCTTTTAGTTAAAAAAGACAATTTATTCATTTGTGGAAGTTCAAAAAAAAAAGTTTGTTAAAGGAATATTCGTCACCAGAGATTTCTGTAATACTTTATTATTTAAACTCTTTTATGTTTCTGATCTTAAACGTTTTTTTGATAGTTCAATTTTTGTAATTTTTAATTATTAGCACATACGCCAAATTATATTTTTGATAGCCCATTCGTGTATTTCTCCCAAATTCTGCCTTTAGTACATTTCAATTGAAAAATATATTATAATTTGTTGAAACTTCTTATTAATGTGTCTTAATATAACGTTTAAATAACATAAAAAAAAACTTCCTTTTATTAATTAAGGGAGAAGGACACAAACATGAATTTATAAGATTGTCCCGAAAGAAATAAATTACAAAATAAGACATCTCTAATTTTGATCACCTTTCATTATTTTCTCGTATTTATACTCATAAAATTGTAATAGAGAAAATAGAAAAACATGTTACCCACTTTCTTTTACAATACTAGTCAAACTAGTAATGTGTCATAAACAGTATTCTTTTAAACATAAATAGTTTTTTAACACTGCGCGTCGGTCTTACCAATATTTGTTTAAAGGCAAGGCCATAAAACACAAAATGATTATATGCATTTATTGTTTTTACTCCTAACACACAAATATGTCACTATTAAAAAGACAGGACTCTTATAATCTCAAAATCTATGAAAACACACAATTATTATATAATTAAATAAGAAACACAACATTTAACAGTGAAATACAATAAAACTAATTGACTAGAACGTATATAAATATCAATAAGAACGACAACAATAGTAAATAAGTCTCTTAGAATTATATCTCTATTGTAAGATATATATACTTCCATCTAATTAAGCTTGAATTAGTTTGCAGTTATTATTTAATAAATAACGCAATCTACCTCTACAATATGAAGAGTGAGTTTAAAGTTAGACCTTTGGTTTTGAAAACTTACATTTACATAATAATTAGGCCGCAATAAATCAACTCGTGCTTTTAGTAAGCAAACATTTAAAGTAATATCGTATTGTTGGCGGAAGTAAGGAATAAAGTCTTTACTATATTATACTTGATAAATTTTGCATTCACAATGCTATACTGATAAATATTATTACAGCTATTAAAATTATCTAAATTTAACTATTCCTTGGTTTTATTAACAAATACATGTGCAAATAAAAAATCTTTAAGAAAAAAAGAATCACCTATACCTATCTATTTCGTTTGAGAGTTTTTAAAAGGAACCTTTTAAATCCCGTATTAGGCCTGAGTATAATAAGCTTCCTAAATAAATTGTACCAGAGAAACACGTATCAATTAGGCCAAATCTACACATCAAAGTTACATTTCATTTTAAAGAAACTCATATAGCTACATTCTCCTACAAAACGTTACCAATCTATCAATTTTCTCGAGTATAATTTGATTGAAAGCCACCAGACTGTCCCTGACACGTCCGCCGGTGTCTCTGGCCCAGGTGAGGGGTGATTAGATCTTCTTCCTGGTCAAGAACCAGGTCTGCATCGGCTCAGCTTTGCCCTTCATGGATACGTGACCGCGATAGGTCAGCTCAAACTGTGCATCGAAGTTATCTTCGCGCATTAAGTAGCTGAAATAAAAAAGGAGATGGATTACTAATTTTAGGTGTTACTAGACAAATAAATTATATTTGATCAATTTTGCCATCAAACAACCTTCTTTATTAAGAGTTTCTTTACGGATTGGAGGGTATTAACCAGCTGGGACCAACGGCCTGATGTTCTTTCCGAAGCATGGCGTAGGTGTGAGTGGCAGGTTCGAGTCCCACCTCGGGTACCTGGGGCTGGTGAATTTTTGAGCATATTTCATTTTATTGGTTTAGTTTATTTGACAAGAGACATAGAAATTATTGCTTTGATACATATTAGAGTACATCACATGTCATATAAACTTATGTTACACGATGCCACGAGTACTGGATAATTTCAATAATAAGGACAATTGTATAATCATAATCATCGGCTCTTTTAACCCCACTGGTTCAGGCCTTCCTTATGGATGGTTAAGGAGGATGGGCATTGACCCCTCACGTTGGCCCTATCGATAATATCCACGACTACAAATTCCGGGACCAACAGCTTGATATGCCTCCCGAAGCACGGAGTAGTCTGAGATAGTGATTTATTGTCACACATCCCGGTACCGACGCTTGCGAAATTTGCTTAACAACAACTAGCGAACTCATTTAGAGAACCGTAGATAACTATTGAGCGGGATAAAAGTAACCTATATCTAAATAATTCAGGATTAGAATTATCGGAATAACAAAGTTGATCATAATCCGTTGATATTATAGAAACTTATAACAACGATGGCACCAAAACACTCAAAACATTTTTCATCGATGAAAAATGAGTCCCGTCTCATATGGGTAATGTTGATATTTTTTTATCAAAAATCAAATATAATAAAAAAACAGTGAATTGTGCAATGCTTTTTTTATTGTATAAAGCAGAAAAAAATTGATTCCTTCATATATTCGTATACAAGTTAATTGTTTTTTTATTTCAAAGAACAAAAAAGAAGTTTATTGCCATTATTTTAATTATGATCAACGATTAACATATATTAATCCAAGTAATTTAATTGAAACGAAAAGGTTTAAATGCTAATACAATAATATAAAAAATACAATGCAAGATAGTTGATTAACGCTCAACACCGGGAGACAAATAAAAAAAAAGGTTTCAAAATTGGTTTTAAAAGTCAAAATTATCCAGGTGGAATTATCTTATACTGAAATCCATCACAACCCCTTTCCATTTGAAATTTAAAAGATATTCACGTACTTTAAGCCACAACTATTTGGACAAGTGAAAGCAATTACCAATCGTTTTTTTCAAAGATGAATTAACGATATCTTAATTTGACGTCAATTCAAATTATTGAAGGCAAGCGTTAGACTAAAATATCTTTGAAATGTCAAAAGTTGTGTGTAAACTGCAATCTCTTGGCGGGCTTAGACAAGTTTATGGTTCTTAATCATTCAAATCATCATTCATTCCAAAAGCGCTGGCTTCTTTAAAACTAATATAATTCCATAAAATTGTTGGATTGCACAGGAAGTTATGTGATAGTACCACCTCGAGCTCGCGGACATCTCCTTGTATACCTGTATGTTCAAGACCCAGATTCTCATTATTCGTGACATGATCTAACCTAAAGTTACGCATGTATATCTAGCTTATTCTACAACAAAGTACATATCGACGGAAGGAATACAAGTGAAACTATAAGGTTTCAAACCGACATTATGGTAAAAAGATTAAGCACTTATAAGTTTTCTAGAAAGTATGAGCTCCGTAATTTATTATAGTGTTAACTTTAGTGACAGCCAGACCTTTTAATGGCGCTAAAAAGTTTTGAATGCTTATAAAAATATTTCTGGTCATTTATTTGATATTTAAAAACAATAATGTCAAAGTGATATCGGTATATATCAGTTAATTTTGGAAAATTCTCTGTGTTAACAATGGATACATTCATGGAATTTTATTTTGAAGAGGTTTTTAATAAATTAGATAGGGATGGTTTGAACGAAAGATTTAAAAGAAAGGAGCTTGTGGAATATTTCAATACTGTTATTGCGGGTTGTGCCAAAGGTTAGATGTTGAATTCAAACACTAGTTTATTTGATAAATCAGTTAGTTTTTTAAAGCTGTTAAGTGTCGAAGATGTAAGTTTTTAACGCTGCATGCACATTAGTGATTTATTGTCACCGTATCTTATTTTTTTCTGTCACTATGCGCCTGACATAGTTGTCACCATCCAGTGTGCGTGCTATCGTATTTTTATTCTCAAGCACCATTCTTAAGTTCGGTGACAGGAGGCAATAAGTCATCAATAAATATTGTATCTATAGATTATTGTATTATATCTATTAAATAATTACTTCTACAATAGTCGAGTAGAAGTAATTATTTAAGTAACACCAATTGAAAACGTCAATTAAGGTTTCTGAAAATTGTATTAGTAATATCTCTTTAAACCAATAAACAAGAAGTTCAATGAAGTAATTCCCTCAAAAGTTATAATACTATTATTAGATACTGACAGTTCTTACTTTATTCAAATTTTCATTTATCGGTTGAATATTTGCTTAAGTTATTACTTTTATTAATTACTTCTACTCGACTTTATAAGTTTTAGGCTACGCGGGTACCATCCCTTGGAATCTATCTATACGCGTACTTATACAGTAGGTGACTTACATATAAATGACAGGTGCATAGTGAAACAAAAGTCAACTATGAAAAAATCACATACGCGCGCATAGCCAAAGTCAAATACTATATGCACTTCTGTGTGTCATATGAGTGATATGTGAGACTTAGTTCTGTGTAAGTCTTCTGTCTTTATAGCTAGTCTTACCTCAATAGACCCTCAGATTCCTATATTATTACGAGTATCAATAGGTGACTTGGCCACGGTTCCCTGGTGTATGGGAGTTTTAGGGAGTGATATGAGACTCCTAGCCAACCCACATTCAAACTGTTAATATAGTTATATAGGCTTGAGAATAAGTAGTTATTGTACTGATTTTATTTTATTATTTAAATAAAAATAACAAATAGTCCCTTGCAATATTACATAAGCCGTAATGATTGCACTTGGCACAGAAGGAATAAATTAACCGCGAAATTTTCCCACAAAAGAAAAATTCACTTTTTATAGCGTTTGAAACTAAAATTGTAAAGAAAGAAAGTGTAACTAAACGATTAATCAAGGTTCACTAATTAAAAAGTATTCTGACCAGAACTAACATTTATAGCCCATGGATGTTTCCGTAAATTATGCAAACAACGCTTTTGCTACACAGCACTTTGTTATGAAGGTTTGATCACTCTCTTATCCGTTTTATGATTGTAACGGAAGAATTTATTTCCTCTCTGAGAGTAATATTAATTTAAATATAAGTCGCAAAGTCAAATTAGTTTAAAATTAGTTTTTGGACAATGATTAGTTAGCGGCATTATCTGTAAGAATATAATATTACCATAGATAAAACATACTAAATAAATTCATATTTTTTCATGTTAGCTCTTGGTTGAATTACGATTTGCTAAGATTTAAGGGTAACCATTTAAATATCATATAATAAGACGGACTCGCGCACAGAGTTCCGTACTATTATCTTAAAAAAACGCAATTGAATCACGTTTGTTGTATTGGATATGATAAGGAGGCCCATTAAATATTTATTGGATTCTGTTTTTAGTACTTTTTGTAATAGGGGCAAATAAATATATCATCTGTGAAAATAACAATTGTCTAAGCATCACGATTTATAAGATAAAAAATAAGGGATTCCGTTTATTACCCTTTGTGTACGGAACCCCGAAAATATAGTGTTTGCAAAAAATATATTTATAAATTAATACAATAGAAATATAATAAACTTTATATAATAGTTGTGATTTTCTAAATTTCAGGACAAAATAAATCAGATGATACAATTTGCAAAAACTTCGTGACGTCTGCTCTCAAATACCATAATAATTGTAAGTCCAGTAATGGTGACGTGTGCCTTATGGGGAAATATCACAACCTTCTGTATATTGCTATCAAGTTAGCTTTCGATTGGAGTTTACAAGATAATGGGACCGTTGCAGCTCTACTAGATGAACTTTACGCATGCGAGAAGACGTTTGAACGAATATATTTAGGTAAATAATTTATCTAATAATGAAACAATTTTTTTTAATGACAATGTAAATTATTATCATTAAAAAAATATTTGGATGAATGAAAAATCTAAACCATGTCATTTATTAAAAAATATATTTTATCGATGATTTTAACTTTGTTATGTTCAGACAAGATGAGATTAAGAAGCAAGTTTTTGATTTATATAACCTTAAAGAGATATAATATTCTTTATAAAAATATTAATTTGTTATTTCGTAGACAAATATATTCTTCGTATTAGTTAAAAATGTTCAGTTGATTATAATTTTATTGTTGCAGGAGCTATATTTGGTACATCAGCTCCATACTTTTTAGCTGGCTGGAAATCAGATTTTGCGGACAAAGAAGAAAATGTGCATGCTCTCGTTTACTTCTTAGATCACGCGACAAACGCTAATCTAGAATATATGGAAGGCGATAAAACTTATCGCTTCATAGATGTACCATTGGAGAGCTGCGGTAAAGCATCGCCCGTGAGAGTAGTAATACAAATGGGTTCATCGGAAATGTTAATGATTCTCCTAAGATTCGGAGCGAGGATTTCCTCTGATAGAGCATCGTCAAATCCAGCTGAATCAATACTTGATAGACTTAAAGAGTATAAAAGAGCGTATCCATATGAGCTAGTGGGTTGCTTAAAATTAATATTGAGAACAGTTCCAAGTATAAATTTTACTGTAGACAAAGAAGCGTTTAAGCATTTGGGCTTACCGAGTGATTATAATTATCAAAGAAAGGTGGTGTTGGAAAAATATGGGGAGATGTTGGAGGATCATTTGATCCCGTCTTCGAGATGTGGGTTGAAACCGGTGGAGCTGAAACATTTGTGTAGATGTACGATCAGACAGATATTGTGGAGGAATTTCGAATTACCGTTTGGGATACAAAAGTTACCTGTTCCGATAACATTGAAAAAGTACTTGGATCTTTTTGATGACTAAATTTTTTTTTTCTATGAGTTAATTTTGATATTTGATTTTCGAATATTTGAATAAAATGCTTAATTATTTCGTAATCGCATAGCACATTGGTAAACAAGAAAATAATCGATGCTTTTACAGTTTATGGTTATTACCTGTTCAAAATATGTTTTAGAAGTGAAAATAAAGCTGTCAAAATCCGTTTGTCAATCACTTGCCATTACAATTTCTACATTGACTCATACATCATCCATTTAATGAATATTTAAAAGGCATAAAGCGCACACGCTTATGTCAGAAGAAACTATAGATCTTTTTTATAATGTGTATTTGAAATGGTTTTTGAGTAATAGTCTTTATTACAAAAACCTCAAATTATCTTTGCTAATAATAATGATGCTGTCTAAATTATACGTTACTTATTATTTCATAAAAACATCTATATATTAAAAAAAATCAATGAAGACTATATTTTTTAGTTTTAGCTATATTTTTTTAATAAATTAATCTACCGTGCGCTGTATTTTTTAATATCCACTTTTTTAGTGGGCAATTTATTAAAATATTCTGTTAATTATTACATAAATTAAGACATCATTGGTAATATGCTCAATGATAATACCTTTTTAGGTAAAAGTTGTTAGAAGGCTTTTAAAGATTTCACTATTCATAGAATCTCATCATCTGCATGCAATGGTGCATTTCTTTTCATATGTAAAAATCTGGACCGTATTTTGCATAATGAAAGTAGAAGTAAGTCATAGTCACACACACTGCAAGATGATGTTTGTGTATAAAATTGTAAACAAAAATGCTAAGTGAATGTAAATCAAAGTAAACATGAATTATTTTCATAAAAAGAAAACTATTTTATTAAATAAACGATTTTTTAAACAATAGTTGTATTAGTATATATTTAAACACGATGTTGCAACGATTCAACAGATATTGAAAATTCCGGTAAATCTTTGAAAATTATTCTGACACTTTATCGATAAAGGTCAAGTTTGAGTCTGACACGCTCACGAAGTGCCCATTAAAACCGCATACAATTATCTTAACTGTCTCTGTTATTATAAATTGCGACATAATAGTGACAAGAATTTTGGTAAAATTCCAAGTGACTGTCTGTGACGTTTCAGAGATAAAAATGTAAAACAACAAAGGAGACATATTCATAGTATCCCTTGGCCATGGGTAAAAATATAAAGTAAAATAAGATCACTTTGAATTATAATTAAATACGTTTCTAGACGTCTTCCGTCTGATGATGATGACGTTTCTAGAGCTTTAAAAAAACATCTAGATCAGGATAAAGAGCTACCAAATAAATCATCAAAGAAACGAAGGATGAAGTTATCAAATGTATATATTAAAAAAATATGCTTTAGACAGGTTAATACTATAGGAAATTAATATAACGTTGGAAATAGTTTCAGATCTGGCCATATATGTATTCTGTTTCGTTTCAGATCATGTGAAAATAAGAAAGTTGATGCCACAGGGTCATTGGTACATGTGGTTGAGACCGATGTTAGTATTTAAATCCTAAGCAATAAAGAAAAAAGCATAACCTGTAAGTGTCCTCGCTGACATTGATAGTACCAGGCACGCCAGTGGTCTCACACCGGCTGGTCAAGTTGACGGTATTGCCAAATAGACAATACCGAGGCATGCGGTGGCCAATTACGCCAGTGACAACCTCACCAGAGTGTATACCGATTGTGATACCCTAAAACATTTTATTTTAAAAATAACAACTATAATTTTAGGTAGATATATTTGTTTTAACGGATAAAGAGTTATATACATACAACAGGTTCTCCATCAACTGTTACAGTTTGCGATAGATCCATCATTTCCAAAGCCAACAGTGAAATGTGTTTGGCGTGAGCTACTTCGTATTCTGGGAGACCTGAAACTGCCATGTATTTGTCGCCAACAGTCTCCACCTATAGAAAAATAGAAATAAATAAATTCTTTTGTATTTTTTTTTATGAATACTTCCTTCTATAAATACTTGTTTTGATGTGTCTTAACAAATAGAAAAATATTTTAAAATTAAGTACGTAAATCATTATTAGGCTTTTAATATACTACAACTTCTAGGACCTTTCCTAATGATTAATTCATATAAGATAAACAAGTCTTAACCCACTACGCGGGTCCTGCAGAGTGATCGCCTAAATATATAGATGTTATAACTATATTTCGTTTGATTTTACTACTTTGATATGTAGTTTAGTAATGACGAACGATAAAGAATGATTATTATAGATTCGATAGCTGTGTAACTTAGTAACTTATCCACCAAAAGACGTGTCAAAGCAGTAACATGAAACGAAATATCGTCATCATTACCAGCCCTTTTACGTCCCCACTCCAGGGGCTCAGGCAAATATCGTCATAACATCTCTAAAATACCTCTAAAATCGTAAGGCCTAGGTGTAGCCTTGATACTTAAAGAGTTGGCTCGCTCACCAGCTCTTCATTATTACAATAATATCGTCATTTTACGTTAAGATATTAATATTTTTAAGTTAGAATACATAAAGGTCATTATTTGCATTAGTCAATAAAGCATCTAACATCTAATGTGAATTTAGAAACACCTATTATTTCCCCTACCTTGTAAACATTTGGATTCCTCTTAGGGTCAGTTAGGACATCAAATGCCGTGTACAAATCATTAAGCATCCTAACAATCTTCATGGCTCCCTTGTGATCGGTATTCCTTGCACAATAATTGGCGAATCCAACTATCCCACTAAAGAGTAACGTCACGGGGTCGTATCGACGGGCTTGCACCGGACGACGGTGGCGGAGCTCAGTAGCCACGCTTATGGGCAGAACTGAGTACAGAAGTCTGTAAATAAATCATGATTAAAGATTATTAAATTTTAAGAAATATCCAGCGATTATTTTATGTGTTTGGGTGAGAAATCAATCCATACATTACTCGTATTCTGCTAGATTATCAGAACATTAAAGGAGAAATAATATGAGTCATAAATATGCATAAGTAGCTGTTAACTTTAGTTTAATGTGTACAATTCTGTACACAGGATTCAATAATTACATTAGGTAGATTTTTTGGTGACAGCGCGTTTTGGTTTATATAGACAGAATTTGGCCTACAACGGTTATTATCTGACAGACTAATTATTGAGCAAAAGAAGAACACAGAACATATCAATAGCTTACTTTTAGCTGTTTTCCTTTTGCTCAATTATTATCATCAGTTCATTATTGTGACTTTATAACCCATGACTTAGGATCGGTACTGATTGGTTAGGTGTTGCAGATTGCATATGAGACCGGGATCATGAATCTAAGTACCATCCGAAACACGGAGATGCGTAAAATAATTTAATCTCTGCAATCGTAGATGAAACTTGCTAACCACAGTTTGCTAACTAAATTCCTCAAAAATTAGTCAATGAAAATAGTATTAATACCTATCGGTCTTTTGCTTCTCAGAGTCCAACTCCCGGAAAGTCTGCTGTAGCTTATCAGTTAGCACCTCTAAGTTCTGTGTCAACTTATAATCGGCTTCGAATTGTTCTGACATGAGCACCAAGTCGCGCGTAGCGTCGTGCAATGGTATATCAGAAATGCAGAGGCCACGGCTGAAAACAAATGAGAGTATTTTCGCAATGTTTCTAAGGTCCATCCATTCGACTTTCACGGCTAGCGCTGCTTTTGCATTTTGAAGATTTTATTATCAATTAAAATGTCCAATTATATATATTTATAAATACTGTAAATTGGATTCTTAACCAAATTATAATATGAACGTATATTATGCTTGTGGTGATCAAATTACTTTAAAAGATCTAGTTATAAGAAGAGATAATTTCAATCAATAATTTAAAAATTATACATTTTTAAAGTTTCGATAATGCAAAGACACGCTATTGTTGTGACACCACGGATCTTATACTTGCCGCGTAAGGTCATCTAAGTTTGTCACGCTAGGATAGCATTGAAACACAACCACTTCAGTTTCTGGTATATAAAGCATTTGTCCCTGAAATCAGAGATAGGTTTCATTTTTTAAATAATAAAGATCATTTTAGATTGAAAAAAATGTTAAAAACCTGCTTAGTGTAGAGTCATTTTTTATAAGTAAACTAGCTTTCCGCCAAAGGTTTTGTTCACGTGGTCCCTATAGTACTATTTATTATAATATCTATCCATATAACGACACGGGTATAGAGGTAATTACAATGACAAATTGAATAATAAAAATGGTTAGGGTTTATTCATCATCATCATCAGCCCTTTTACGTCCCCACTGCAGAGGTTCAGGCCTCCACGCTAGCCCAATGCGGATTGGAGGGTATTAACGATTGCAAATGCAGCTTGGTCCAACGGCTTAACTTGCATTCCGAAGCATGGAGTAGCTCGAGATAATCATTTTTTTGGTCACCCATCCCGCATATGATAAAACTTCTCGGAAGTGAAATAATTTATAAAATCAGTCCAGTGGTTACGGAGCCTATACGTTGCAAATAAACAAATAATGAAATCTTTCGTATTTATGAGTATAGTTGAAATACTCAAACTTCGTATGGTTCAGTAAGGGTTTAAGACAACATTTTATCGTCATTTCGTTCACTGCTGGACATAGGTTCCAACTCGATCTTGGGCTACTCGCATCCAGTTGCTGCCAGCTACTAAACAATTATAATAAACAAACGTGAAACCTTCAGTCGGAGTGAAGCGATTTCCTCATGAGGATCACTAACGATCATCTCTTCAGGCTTAGTCTTTAGTACATACACAGTGTTGATATGAGCTAATACATTTTCAAATGTCATCTCCAAATGCGGACGAACCTAAAATATAAAAAAGTCAAAATCAGTTGTTTTAAAAGCGGCGATTTAATTATAATTGAACAGTTTTTATTTTTACTTCGAAGTATTTTAACTGTGATGTTTGTGATCGTTATTGTGATGTGATCTACTCACAAATAATCTAAATTATCCTACCAATTTTATAAAGGCGAAAATTTGTAGGTTTGGATGTTTGTTACTTTTTCAAGCAAAAACTACTGATGATGATTGGATGAAATTTGGTATACAGGTAATTCTTAGTCTGGATTAACATACAGGCTACTAAGGATAGAAGTGCCACCAAGGGCACCTATTTTTGTGAATGCTGCTTAATCGGTAAGAGATATACGAATGTCTCTAAAGAATAGTCAGAGATCTTTAAATTATCTATAAAAAAGTCCGCGATGGCATATATCTTTGTGCTAAGGTTTTGCCACAAAAGTAAAAAAAAAACTTCGTATGAGTGAATTTAATTTTTTGTCCGTCTTTAGATGTTTATTTGAGTAGGTGATATTAAATCTTTATCAAAATAAAAATGCTTACCTTCAATGAAATTTAAAGTACAAAAAATATCTCTTAGACCAAATAAATTGGATGATTACTTAAGATTTTACTATGATATTTTTAAGAAAAAAAAAATAACATATTTTGCCGATTTTCCAAACACTATAGTATGCATGTATTTATTACTATTTATCAGCATTTTTTAGTGTATCTATATGATAACATATAAATTACTAGGCTGTAGCAATGATGTTATTATTTTACTAATAAAAATAAAGTAAGCAACGACGATTAAGAGAGCGTTTAGTAACAAGAAACCCTTCTTCAAGGCGATATTGGTAGTCTAAATACCCAAAAAAATATCAGGAGTAGTATAGGGCTTATGTAGTGTTGGGGAAGGAGAAAAAATATTAGCTACGTGGAGCTACAATCGACTGAATAAGTGCTAGGAATCATCAACGAAAAGTGACTGCTTCAAGGGCTGACGTACAACTACATTTATTGACATTAGATTGCACACAACGTCCAATATGTATTATTAAATGACATATGTAAAACGTTTAATATATACAATTGAACGTTGAGTGCATTTTGATTAAATTAAATATAAATCAAATCGAAGCAATATTCGTCATTCTGTAAACCATAGAAAACAGACTAGGGAGAATGTATGGACAATTTATAGAATAAAACGACTTCTTTTAAACCGGGTTGGAAACAAAAATAAGCTGACGACAAGTAAAACTTTGATCGAGAATCTTACGGAAACGAAGGGTAGTTACGATAAACACGTTAAGCAAAATGTCAATTCACACAATCTCAGAAACTCGGAAGATTACTTACAGCAGTATATTCTGGCCCAATAAAATAATAGAAATAAACATGAACTGTGTGCATAGACTTTGGTATTCCATGGTAAAGACATTGCCGAAAAACCGTTCAAGTGCAAGTCGACCTTTCACAATGAGAATTAATTACCAGAAAAGAGGAAAAAAAAACACATCGGTTGTAGTGCAACCCCTTAAATAATTATTTTATTCTGTGTTTTGGTATACAGCGCCAACAGAAATACATCATCTGTAAAAAATTAAAATGTTTAACTATCACGGTTTATGAGATGCAGCCTGGTGACAGACGGAGGGACAGACACGGACTGCGGAGTCTTATTATTAGGGCCCCGTTTGTTACCCCTTGAGTATGGAACTCTAAAACGATCTCATTGCAAAAAATCTTCGCTAAATCATACTATTGCATATCCATCGATAAAGTAACTATAATTATATCGAGGATGCAGTAGTATACTACTATTCATATTTTTTGTATAGTGCTTCTGCTCAACAAAGCTTGAATTTGTCATAATAGGGATTATTTTACGATTTTCAAGCCTGTTTATTTATGAAAATTAAAATTTTTATGTAAGGGTGCCTATGTGACAACCACCATTGCTAGATAATTAAGATAATCAATAAAATAATGGCATTATTTTGAGGATATACTTTTTCCAACAAAAAAAAGTGCAATATGGATACAAGAAAACAGTCAAATTGAAAACCCATTCGTATTTTTTAAAGTTGGTTAAAAATAAACGACTGTTAATACTAATATCATGCAAATGAAGTTGCGAGCAAAAGCTAGTCTATAACACAGCAAAAGCTAGTTTTCATTGCATCACAAGAGAAAACTATTTATTAAGAAGTCAATATATACGAGTATTCAAGTTATGAAAAATACAATAGTGTAAAAGTACAGTATATTCGCGCTAAACAGGACCACAAAAATGGCGGATGAAAGAACGACGAATATGATATAGAATATGTAGGAGGAAGAATGCAGAAGCCGGAGAAGTCTTGGCCTCACTGAAAATGGTCAGCTTGATCTCGTATTAGCAGAGGATTACGTTAGAAACGATAAATAGACAAATAAAAAGCGAAAGACGTGTTCAAAATCTATGCCTTATAGTGCTAGGTCCTCCTTGTCAACCCCGGAAATGATACGCCGTAGATATATAATTAGACTACAGTTTCAAAAATAATCCTAGCTCTAATTTTAAAAGGCACTAAGATCGCATTAAGTTTGTAAATATAATGAAAACAAACACTCACGGTGTCCAGAACATCCGTGATTTTGCAGCCAGGCCTGGTTACTCTAGGCAGGAGACGGGAGACAGTTCTTCCTGCTTGCACGATGTTTAGCTCATGGTCAAACATCAGATGAAATGGAAACACTCGACAGAAGGTTGCTGGACTAACTTTTGGTTCTGTCAATGTGATAATAACAACATCTAGACATTGAATGATATTTGGTAATAAATATTTACCTTAGTAGCAATTTAAGTTATATGAGGCCATAAATTACTACTTTAATAATTTTTCATTATTAAATAACCTGACCAGTTGTCATAACCTGACTCTTACCAAGAGACAAAGTTTCGATTTCAGCAATCTCAGGTGCAGATACTCGGCCTGAAGTTGACGTCTCTGTTATCAAAAACTGGACGTGATCACATTCTTCTTTAGTTTTAAGAATTTCTACCTTGACTTCAGTGTTGTGAAGCTTACTGGCGACCGTCTGGAAATAAATAAAAATAACTCTAGAGAAATGATTAATAATAATTTGACGTCCCTAAATACTAATACTGTAAGATATTTAAAATAAAAGAAATAAAAATATTTTTTTATGCTACTAAAATTACTTTTGGTAGCTTTAGATCTGGTTATTTTTATCTACCGGCTCTTACATCAAATAGCAGTCATCATGACCATAAGAGTTTCTCCCATCTCTATGTTCTGTGGTTTCTCCTAATCTGAAAACTCCGATACTAACTCTGCGTTGCGTAGGAGGTATTTGTAAATACATTACATATGGAAATTTATCATAAATTTAAGTATTTTGAGCATCTAGGTGAAAGACACAAACCTTTACAATGCCAATGACAATGTGCTCCAAGCCAGGTCTATCTGAATAGTAATGAAGAACCAATGCACCATCTTCTGGTCTTTCGGTGCAACGGAAAGACGGAGAGCGCATACCAGGGTATAATGTACCAAGGTGATCATGTAAGCCGTCCAAATTCTGTTAGAGTTAGATAAAAAATAAATTACAAGTGTACCACTGTACAAAAGAAGGGTAACTATATTAATCGCTAAATAGATATTTTAGTGATGGATGAAAATCAAGGCTAATAATTGGGAACATTACATAATTATTTACCTGCAAGAAATCACGTGGTGTAGCGCCTAGAACTTGCAATATTTTATCATAACCAGAATCTTGGCAAAACTCAAAGAATGTTTTTCCAAAGAGCTCCAAGATAGAATCAGCTGGGATTTCTGAAATATTTAAAATACTGATATTGAACTAAAAATTTAGATGAATTGTTATTGTATGTCGAAATGTAAAAAAATAATAATATTTTTATTAAATTTAATCTTTTTATGCAATTTATATTTCATATTTTGCTTAAGCAATTTATTTACAGTTAGGTATATGTATAACTGTAAATAAATTGCATAAATACAATTTGCTCACAATTGGTCAAAGCATATACAAAGTAAATGTTTACTTTGTATATGCTTCGACCAATTGTGAGTAAGCAAGTTTGAAACTGGTTGGTAAGGTGTTATATTGTGTACTTTTAAGATACCATTTTTAATCATGTTTTGTCTTATATGATTTGTCATTTTTCGTCCCTACTATTTTAGTTAATTACGTAATAATTTTCATTGGAATTCAGCGTCAACTGGTAAACTCAGCTCTGTTTTTGTGAAACACTACCAAGTAGACGATGGTAAATATTCAAATCGTTTACTTTTGCTAGCATCATGTTTAATAATACTTACGTAGTACTTCTACTGCTGCTGTTATAAGATTGTAAGTAATTTCGTCTTCGTAAATCTGTCTCACCAGAAAAGAACCTTCCATTGACACTTCGGCCTTTTTTCTAAAAACAATGACTTAGTTCAAGATTTTTATCTTACAGACTACTTGTTAGATTGTTTTAATGATATACTCTTGTACTTATTACTAAAATAGTTAATTTAATTTAGATTGCTTACGTTACAATATCAATCAGGAAGTTAATATTTCATTTATTTATCCATGTAACTTACTTAATGGTCTCCCATGTCTCTTCACCAAACGTTTGCATCACAAGTAACTCTAGAGCATAATTCACGAAGCCGTACTGGAACAGAATAATATTTTCATTTTAGTGTAAAATAAACATCAATATAATAATAGGGTTTTCTAGTTCTTTATGATCTTGTGTTGAGTTGTACTCATTATCGATACTAAATTTTTAATACAATATACCTATAGGTTTCTAGTGATTATGTATGTTTTCCTGTCACTTATCAAGTGAGAGGGTTTGTGTCTGTTTGTCCACAAAAGAAAATTTCTTATAATTTTAAAACGTTCTGATTTTGTGTTGATCATATCCATGAAGATTATCCGTACATCAGTCACTGCCAAGAAAGCGACCACCTTACTCTCTAGCCATAACATTATAGGATACGATATCTTAGCGATGTCATAGCGATATTATTTATTACTACGCATTTACAGTAATATATGGACATATCTTCGTTAAGATAACGTATCTAATGCCTAGAGAGATAGGCAGTCACCCCAGGTTCTATCAACGTTGCAGCATTAATTGTTAAATAATATGAAGTTTCTTTGGAGTCGTATTTCGAAAATAGAGGAAATTTCGTTTTTGCAAAAACGGAGTAGACTTTCAGGCCTTATAGCAAGCAAGCATGGCGAGTTGTAGTTACAGATATATAAATGAAATCAAATCTGCAACTAGATTTGCAATCGGTTTAGAAATAACTATTATCAAATTAAAAAAATGGTATACCATTTTGTTGCCTTCGTTCAATCTGTAAAAATAAAAACGAACGTTAATACCGAAATTCGTTCAAGATAAGTCTATGGTAAGGAGTTTGATAATGCAGAGTTTCGCGCATGGGGTCTACAATGCGGATGTTGAGTAACTTCGCTGGTCGTATAGGGTGAGCATCACATCATCACCAACCTATCAATGTGCCCACTACTAGAGCTCAGGTCTTCCCTATGAATGGAAACGAATCAAATCGATTAGGTAGAATGAGCCAACCTCCACGCGGGCCTATCGCGGACTGGTGGTTGCTAATGCTGCCTGGACTGACGGCATAACGTGCCTTCCGAAGCATGGAGGAGCATCAAGGCAAATTTTTAGTCACCCATCCCATGACCGGCCCTTGCAAAAGTTGCTAAGCAACCGTAAAGTAGACCTAGCGCGCTATTCACAGCATTAACAAGGCCCTCGTGGGTGGCTGGTCAAAAGTTTACATTCTCTAGTTAGTCCGTATTATGGAAGGCACGTTAAGCCGTTGGTCCCTCCTGCACCTGCAGACGTCAATATCCGCATATTTACCGTGAAATATATCGCTCTCCCTCACAGAACACGGAAAAGAGGTCCCTGTTTGAATCAATCCATAGGCCCATAGGTCCCAGCAGTGGGACATTTATAGGGTAGTGGGGATATAATTTTGATAAATTCGATAATTACAATAACTGTTAAGAATCACAATAGCTGTTTTCCCGCGACTTTGACCAAGTAGATTATAGCAATGTCACTAGTGTATGATTCAGCTTCGCATAGGTGAAAGTTTTTTTTTAAATCAATTCATTGATTTCGAGATTCAATGCAAACAAACAATGAAATCTATCATTTATCATATTAATACAGATAACAGGAACATGGCAATTATTGCTTAAATTATATAATGATCTTATTTACTTCTTTAAAAAGTGACATGGTAAGATACTCATATCTACTCAATTTTGTACTCATGCAGAATTTAATTTAAAGAAAATACAAATAAGGTCAATTAGTAAGTATTATTTTAGTTGTTTTAAAAGCTCTTCTGATGAAGCCTTCATTGATTCTATTTTCATTGGAAAGGAACTCATTTTCTTAAGGAGATTGTTTTTGTGATATTTCCAAATGGAAACAAAGGTAATTGATTTCGAGGAATTGTTTTATTATCTTTAGGAAATTTATATGGATTCATTAGAGTAAGTTAAATAATAATATAATTTTCATGGGAAAGATACTTAATGATGTTATTAAAATCATCCCTCCATTTTTCGAAATAAATTACCAATAGAAAGACCTCTACTGTAAAACGAAAAATATTATAATACCTAGAATGCATATGGTATTACTAGTATTTTTAAATAATTAAATTTTGCAGATTAAGAATATAATTAACAAGAAAAAAATATATAATTTTTTTAAATGCTGACTCAACAATCATAAAAAGTAAAAAATTTATTCTTGTTTATTAAGAGCAAATACGGAAACTGTTAGGAAAACGCAAAATGGTAGGGAAGCCAATGTTGATACCAGTTGATACACTAATGTTTCTAGATAACCTTTCCATTAGCTTCTCGAACCCAACCTATGTTATACATGGCAAAGGAATTGATTATATTCGTTTTATGTTGCCGATCTTTTGATGCTCTACCAATTTCAAATACAACAAAAACTAGCGGATTCGACTATCTAATCATTTTTTTTATTTTTAAGTTGCTATCTTCCCACGACTTCGCCAACGTAAATTGTCACACGCGTATTACTTCATACGCGTTCCCGTGAAAGAAATTTTAAAATGAGTTCTGTTCAGTGTATCTGGGTTCTCCTCAGCTTTTATGGGTTCTGTTGTTTCAGGTTCTATTCGATGTAAACAAACAGTCAAATCTTTCCTCTTTTTTTATATAAGTAAAGATCAGTAATTCCTCAAAAATATTTCCACGGTTTTATCTGGAAACAATACTTGTAGATCTTTCTCGTTTAAAACCTATTTTGATTATTGAAATTTTAGTTGAGGTGAAATGATTTTGATATAATTAATTTAAAATATTATTCGCATATTACCCGCAATATTTTTCACGATAACGCCATCTTTAGCTACAGGTTAAAACCCGTGCTCACTACGTGCACACTCGTGTGTAACGCAAAGGGAAAAATCAGTTTGCTTAAGTATACTGCCAGATGGCAGCACGATCGTATTCAAGTCTATTTTATGATTGTTTAGTTTCTAAATACTGAATGACCAATTTTTTACAAGATATATTAATTTAAAACAACATGTATATTTTGTGATAATACAGAAACATGTTAAATCAAGAATAGCACCGGTAAGGTTAATTTAATTATAACTTAATTCCATTACTATAATACCTATTTACTTTTTATGATTGTTATGTTTATTATTTAATTTCATTAAAGATTTAAGTATTTGTCTTTCTTATTTACGTGCTTTAATTTTAATACTGACGCAATTATCTATAGCAAAAATATATAGAAAAATACTGAAATAATCATCAAACGTATTCAATTAATTACTTACCAATATTCTGCTATTTAGTTAGTATTATTTACGCTATTTTCAAGATTTTTCAAAACAATTTTCGTCACACTTTTTAAGGCTTTTTTAAATAGGCCAACGCGAAACACTACAATATACCGTACGCGCCAAAAGCTTGACGCACACTGGCAACTTCCTAGCCAATATCCGGTAATAATGAATAAAACTAAAGATACTTATGTTTAATCCATCTCAAACATTAAAATCATGGTAATTGTTATAAAAAAAAAGTAAAAATAAATCAACAAACAGGATTTATGATAATAAATTATATTTTAACTTATAATAGTGTGCTGGCGCTGACATCTATTGGAATTTTCACTAAACTCGTTTCTTTGATAAGCTGATAGATGCCGATAGGCGTTTGAAAAGTTAAAGATTTTCATGTAGGAATTTGAGACTATAATATTTGTCGATGCATTTGTATCAATATAAACTTTTGATCAAAACCTTTCTTTTTTATATGCTTAATTAGTTTTCAGTTTGCAAATTAAAGAATAGCTTAAATTTGATTAAAAAATAAATTCTGTATATTTGAAGACATACACTATTATTATAAATTTATCAAACTTTGGAATAAGGATTTTTTTATTATTAATCTATATTAATATAATATCTTGTGTTTTTCCAGTGATTTATGTATATTTTACTGCATTAATATTAATGAGTAATCTAGTGAAGTTGAATAATTCTCCGTTTTGATCTTTTGTATTCAACTAAATCTGATTCCTATTGAGACGTTTTATTCTCTTTTCTATTTAGCTTCAGATTCTTTTTATTCAAACAATCTTAAAAGGTTATCAGCGCAATACTTACTGTTCAAAGTTAAAAAGCTTTTCTGCTTTCGAATACGATAAAATACCACGATTTATACATTGCAGTGTTTAAATCCACATAATCTAACTACTGTATTGCCAAATGATACGACATTTTGGCAATGTTATTACATATCGAATTTACTCTAATTTGACATGCACTTCAAATAATGACGAAATAACTAAATAAGGAGTTGATACCAGTGTTACCAACGTAACTATATATTTCAAATTTATCCACCAAAAAGTCATTTCAGAGTAATAACGTGAAATGTTATATGAACTAATAATGATAATGAACTCTTTGCTCGATCTTTGCTGATAATGAACTACTAAAGTCTTAGCACTGCTTAGATGTATGCTATGAATAGAATCAAAAACAGTTATATAGATAGGCAGTCGCACCCCTGGAATGGCGAATGCGTATCGGACGACGCCTAGTAGGTACTTCCTCCACCATCAGGTTAATTCTGTTAATATAGATATTATTAATTACATCTTCCCTATTACACTATGTACCTGAAGTGTAATATTATTATATATCTATCACTATTGATGTGTGAAGAGGACATTGTAATTATAATATTGGATTGGTAGACAGTACAATGTTAAAAAGTTAAGATTCTATTGCGATACGACTATTGCGGGAACATTAACAGAATTGACTTGATGGTGGACCGACGATCTTATAAAGGTTGCGGGTAGACGCTTGATGCAAGCAGCGTAGGACCGTTCGTCATGGAGATCAATTGGAAGGCCTATACTCATTGGGCGTCTAGGCTGATGATAATGAACTGCAATTACTATGATTTATTGCAATGTACTCAATAGTAGAATCCATTATGGTAATGGTAGAGTATATTATTATCATGCAATGTCTATAAAGCAATACTAGCAATTGTTTTGCTGTATAGAAATAAAAATATATTAGATTTGATAACATTTACTTTAGTTAACTGCATTGTCATATAAACTTAAACCGTATTAAAGTTTTCAGCTTAATCCATTGAGGATAACTTCAAAAGTCTGTTTTGTTATTTCAAGATCGCGATAAACATATAAATGCGAGTTAACAGCTTAAAGGGAACTATACACTACAGATTACACTGATGACGATTCCCATTAATAGTAGAGTTAGTAAATGCGTTGACAATCCTCTTTGTATTCTATGTGGGGTATATAATTAATGCCAGTATGGGTGTGTCGTCGAGCAAAGAGGCCCGGCGCGCATTCTAAATCGAGTTGGAAGATAAACCAATTATTTTTCTAATAACCTACGTCGATATGAGCTCAATAACTTAACTAATGACATAAAATACTTTTGTTTATGTAGTAAATGATTGTGACATATATGCAATGGTGTCTGATTCGGTAACACTTCTATGTTGGATTGACGATTATAAGAACGCATACCACGACATATGAAAGGAATCACTGGGATCACTGCTTGGTTAGGAAAAATGAATCCTTCCCTTTCTTAGAGAATAATTTCTGGGCACGGCAAATTCTCCCTAGCCAATCGAGGCTTTAAAAAAGCAGATTGTGGTCTTAAAACACCGGCGAGCTCGAAGGAATCTTTGCACAATCGTTTGTACTATAACTGGACACTTCTCACTTAACAACCGATAGTGTGGAGGTATAGATATCACCGATGATAGTCCACTATGTAGAGCGAAAGAAACCAATGCTCAAGTTATTCTGGAATAGGAGAGTATGGAGGATGGCACACCAGGGACATATCCTAGGCAATCCTTCAACACTCCACGAAGCCTGTGGAGACCCTAAAGAATTTCTGCGCTTCTGGGTTGGATTGGCTGAAGTAAGACAACCATCTTTTCACGCTGATTAGAATGACTAAAAAATTTGCCACCTAACCTTTACTGGTGGCTTTAATACACTATCTCCTGCCTCTCAACGTTCATCTGGAGAGTAATGCTCGAGCATCGCACCTAGGCTTCCTAACAATTGCACCTTTCTAATCTAGGTTATCTCATTCATACAGTTCCCATCGTCCATCACGTTTCATTCATTTCTCTAATTGTTTTCTATTGTCCAGAGTGTTTAAATACAAAGTGCGCACTCCTCTCCTACATAAATCTTTTAACGCTAATATTATCTCATTCCGATATAAAAGTCGCGTTTTAACTCGCAATGCATTGATGAAATTAAAGCTGGAAACAAATTACTATTATTATTTTTAATTAACAGACTTTTCAGTAAAATTCATAACATATTTTCTTCGTAGATTTTTTTTATTCGCATAGTTTTGAGATAGAGATTTCAGTCATTTTGTAATTAGATAACTAGTCTTATGAATAAGTTGTATCAGCGAAGCATTGCGTAGCTAACTAATAAATTAGGTCGTAGTAATATTATCTACTGTAGAAAAAAGCTTTTTCATTTTATTAATATTGAATTTAAGTAATATTGATATTTGTCATATAAATAATACAAGGTCTTTAATTTTTTTTTAAATTTATTGTAATTTTTTTACTATGTTATTTTTTGTTTGTCCCAATATGTTGTTATTTCCATACGACGGATCTGTAGATTCCAAACACGATGCAGTTGCGTTATTTCATTGCTAAGTTCCACCACCTTCCAGGTCCATCATCGCTAGACTTTGATCTGGAAAGGAAACTCATAAAGATGTATCCAAAGAGCCCTAACACGATGCAGTTTCGTCATTTCATCACCTAATTCCTATGACCAACTTCCGACTTCATCGTTTTATCAGCTTATGAACACCATAATATTGCATTGTCATCTGACTTACATGTATATGTAAAATTTCAATGCATCGGACATTGGGAAATAATATGTAACGATCTAGGAAATTTCTCAGAGAAATATTTAAAGAAATAAATATTTTGACTGTTGCCTCTCAATACATCTATGAAAATATTAGATACGCAAGAAAACATTACGATTCCTTTACAATAAAAAAAGTAGTGTTCATAATCTTAACACAAGAAATAAATATAAACTTGCCGTTCCAAACTTCAGACTTCAAAAAACTAGAGGATCATTTCTGTATAAATGCATAATATTTTGATAATGACATGATTTATGTAAATGACATTACTTATGATAAAGAGCTGGTAAGTTTCTTTCGTTTGTTCTTCTTGTCAGCTAAAAGACGTCCTGAACAAGTGGTAGGGGAAATATTTTTTTTTTGGACAATTCAAAAGTGTTTGTAGTAAGCCTACTTGAATAAAGATATTTTCATTTCATTTTACTTACAAGGCAAGTTAAATAAAAACTTGTAAAAATACTGAAAAATCAGGTGCCGAGATAGGATAAGTATCCATCAACAGCGTTATAATGTTTCTACTGATATGACATAAATGGTATGAATTGAATTAAATCAAATACGAAGAATGGACCGGGAACCACTATGTAGGCCCAGTGCGGATTGGTGTGTGTTGATACAGATACAGCTGGGACCAAGGGTTTAACATGTCATCCGAAGCAGACAGGAGATCGAGATAGTACATTTTTGGTCACCTTTCCGGTCCTAACGAAAGTCTCTTACCTACTTCCGAAAACGAAACTGTTGCGCCATAGAGCCGCTCCTACCATGATGTCACGCTAGATTTCTCGCTCAACACGTGAAAGCAATATATTATTTGATTATTTTGGATGTGTTGGTTCAATTAATGTTTTTTTTATATTTATATTTTACAGAAATGGCCTCTGATTTATATATGTAACCCGTGATAGTAGAGTCTTATTTCAATAAGACAATTAATGTATCGTAACCGTTTTCATACCTTTATAGCGGTTGTGCAATTTTCATATGATCATCATTTATTCCATAATCTGTAGAACATCAAAAAAAACTTAGTTAAACCTGTTTAAACTCTATCGCTTGAAATTTATTAAATAGTTTTTAAGCATTTATTTTCTAAACAAGACGCAAAATGCTTGAAATCATTTTTGTTAACGTCAATTTAACGATAATATTCATTGAATATCTTTCATAAACCATCGCGTTCTTAATCGCTATAAAGTGTCAAATAGTTAAGTATGAGAAAATCTTTTAGATGTCAAATTGAAAGGGGTTGCGATCGATTACATCCACTTCCTAATTACTAATCTATATATTATAAAACATTTATAAGCTAGTTATTACACACACACATACACACACACACACACACACACACACACACACACACACACGCACGCACGCACGCACGCACGCACACACGCACACACACACACACACACACACACCTCGTGCTTGCATGGTCAAGCTAATTGAGTAATTTGTATGTATGCACAACTCTATTCATAAACGCTCACGTAC